AATAAGATAAGTGCTGTGTGCATAGGAATTTGTTCATAGTTTTATTTTTTTTTTTTTTTTTTTTTTAACTATGGTCCGGCCCTCAAATGGGTTTGAGGGACAGTGAACTGGCCCTCTGTTTAAAAAGTTTGAGGACCCCTGAGTTACAGCCTCAGAAACCCGGTGGAGCAATTCTGCTCTATCGTATAAGGCTGCTGTGAGTCATAATGTGGGTGGTGGTGGTTTATTTTATGTATTTAAGTGCAGCTTCTCTGGTGTTTGCATAAGGTTTCTTAAGATCATTCTTACCCATTCAGGTGTATTTGTTTAATTTTGGTAGGTAAAAAAACCTACTTATTAAACATTTAACTAGTTTTGAATAAAATATTCTAAAACTCTTCAGTGATATTTTTCACCTGTTTTTAAGTTCATTGCCTTAAAATATTGTATGCCACGGACTAAGTACACTGACATTTCAACAAATATACTTTTCTGTTCCCTCCAAGATGGAAATGCTTTGTCATAGATTCCATTAATAAATCATTTTAGCAGAATTTTAAGGACTCCCCCCCACCCCTCTCATTTTGATTTGGAAGTGTATTGTCAAGACAAGGAAAGTACATAATACTTGAAGTTACACAGAAACGTTACCTTCATCTCAATATTAGATTGAGGGAATCTAATGACATTTTGCATAATTTTCCTTTAACATAATTCTTATTTCACCCTGCCCAACTTGGTTTTGGAAGGAACGTTTAGTTATTCTGATTCTGAATTATAGTTTATTTAGGCAGGCATATCTGTGTCCCCACTGTTAGCAATTAAAAACTGTAGGCTCTACACCACACAGTGTACCCTTTTCTAGAAGCTGTGCTTCTAGATTCAGTATGCTCTTTTTACATACTCTCCAAGGGCCAGCTCATTGAGGCTCAACTACTTTCTTTTTTTAATCATTTTATTGGGGGCTCATACAACTCTTATTATCATCCATCCATCCATCCATCCATCCATCCATTGTGTCAAGCACATTTGTACATTTTTGCCATCATCATTCTCAACACATTTTCTTTCTACTTGAAGGCTCAACTACTTTCTAATTTCTGGAAGACTTTTCCTTTTAGTTCTCCCTCCTACTTTTTACCTTTACATTTACCTGGAACCAGGTGCCAGTTGATTTGTCTTAGGGCTGTCATTTGTGATAAGGATTTTTCTCTGTTTTTGCATAAATTTCTGCTCAATAGTTGTCATAATTAGTACTCCTTCAGGCTTTTTATGTTATATATTTTCAGTTAGATTTTGAGTGAAAATAACCTTTCAAATAATAACATTCAGAATCACTTAGACCACTGAAAGCATTGCTGTATAAAAACTTACCCCTTCTGTCTCTTATTTAGAGCTTAATTTAGATAGCAGCAATTTCCCTGGAGTGAAACTACGTTCAAAAATGTCTCTCCGTTCTTATGGAAGCCGGGAAGGATCTATATCCAGTCGTTCGGGAGAATGCAGTCCTGTTCCTACGGGCTCTTTTCCAAGAAGAGGGTTTGTAAATGGAAGCAGAGAAAATACCGGATATTTAGAAGAACTTGAGAAAGAAAGGTAACTTTTGTTCATTATATCCTAAACACTGGTTTATAGTGTTGTTTGTATTGTATTTGTTTCTATTATATTATTAGTTGTTTTTCTTTTTTTCATTTTGTAACCCAAGGTAGAAATTCTGAAATGCACTGCCCTCATTAGCGGTCTCTATTTTACTTCTCTGGTTTCTAATATCCATTGTAATGGCTGCACAGGATTCACATACAAAATTTGGTAGTTACCAAGTTGTAATTCTAGTTAATGCTCAAGGTTGAATTATCAGGACGTATTATAAAAAATCTGTCAAGTGTGCTGATAGATGCCCAAAGGGTATACCACTCCTCTGTAAGCATCAACCCTGAAGAGTCTGGGTCAGCAAATCCAGACCCTTAAATTAAATACACAGAAGCACTCCACTTTGGTAATCCCCAGTCCAAAGGCACTCAGCTCTACTTCCTTGGGTCAGCAAATCCAGCTTCCACAATTAAGTGCCCAAAGTCACCTTAACCTGCAAGCCAGCTTCCTGCATAGAAGCATGTAGCTTTACGTCCTCCCTGGATTCGGAAGTCCATCACTCTGTCCATGTTCTGGATGCTGGTTCTACTGCTCTCCTCTGATGGTATAGCTGTCATCTGGTTCAAGGGGGTTCACTGCGCAGGTTTGATCAATTTCAGATTACAGAAGTTGGTAGAATTTTTCCATTTTTTTCATACTGGACTACATAAATTTGAATAATATTGTATTATCTGGATTTCCTTGTATGAGGAACTATCCCTTCACAGACAGCATTGTACTTCTTGATAAATCTTAAAATATATATAGGTACATACATTATTTAGGGGGGTGAAAAACTGGTTTTGGCTTAAAGTTTATAGAACAAAATCAGTATTTAAAAATTTTCTTTCTTAAAATAATAAAATAAAATTTTCTTTTTGATGAAGAATGTGACACCATTCCTCTTGAATTTGGCATTCTTAGCTTATATGACTATCTAATTCAAAATGGACAGCACTCATTTATTTCATCTCATTGATGCCGAGGATGTAGATCTTTATGCATTCCATTTCATTTTTGAAGATTTGAAAATGGCTCAGGTAACTGCATGTAACCTCCTCTGGGTTCCCTATTGCCACAAGGCAAGGGTCAGAGATGCCTCTATGCTCCATCTTTTTTTTTTTTTTTTCCACCTCTTTTTAGCAGTACTTTTATTTTTTTATTTTTTTAAATCATTTTATTTGGGGCTCTTACAGCTCTTATAACATTCCATACATAAATTGTTTCAAGCATATTTGTTCATATGTTGCCATCATCATTTCCAATACATTCTCTACTTGAACCCTTTGTACAAGTTGGTCTTTTTTCCTCCTCCCTCTTCCATCCTCCCACCCCAGTGAATCCTTGATAATAATTATATATTGTTATATTATTTTATATCTTACACTGTTCGTTGTCTCTTTCACCCACATTTCTGTTATTTGACCCCTTTAGGGAGTGCTATATATACCACCTTGTGATGGGTCCCCCTTTCACCTCCTTCCCCCTCCCCAACCATCCCCCTACCCTCTCCCTCTTTCTTTACCTATTCTGACACCGTGTCTCCCAGCATTGTACTTTTCTGCTGGTTTCAATAATTCAATGCATGGACCACACAACTCAAAGATAAACTCACAATCGGGCATATATTAGGGACTTTAACAAATTACCATGAGTAAGGATGACCAGCAGCCATATCTCTCTGGTCATCAATCAGCCTTTCAGCCATGTGGCCCCTTGTAAGTAAATGTTTATATTACTAGTTCTTTACATAAAGACTGGACAGATCCTACATCACTTTGAAAGATGTAGATTTGTTAAATTCAATTGCTGTCCACTTTTCAATTTTTCCTCACACATTTTTTGTAGACATACAGGTACCTATGTATGAATGTGAGGAGACTTCAAAAAGTTAATGGGGAAATTTCACTGTCATTTAATTCCATTTTTCTGTGAACTTTTTAAGTCCCCTCATATATTCTTATGTTTATTCACTTTCATTCACTGCCATTGGGTCAGTTCAGACTCATAACTACCTTATAGGACACAGTAGAATTGCCCTGCTGTCGGTTTCTGAAACTATAACTCTTTACACGAGTAGTAAGCCTCATCTTTCTCTTGCTTGTGTTTGTTATTTCATAAACTTAAACTGAACTCTATGGTTTTCCTTCTAATAGTTCGTTACTTTGTTGATTGATCCATATTTGTACCCATTCCAAAGAAAGGTGACCCAACAAAATACTAAAATTATAGAACAATATCATTGGTATCAGATGCAAATAAAATTTTGCTGAAGAATATCCAACAATAGTTGCAGCAGTACATTGACAGGGAACTGCCAGAGGTTCAGGCTGGATTCAAAAGAACCCAGGGAACAAGGGATATCATTACTGATGTCAGATAGATGTTGGCTCAAAGCTGAGAATACTAGAAAGCTATTTACTCGTGTTTTATTGACTGTGCCAAAGCATTCGACCGTGTGGCTCATAACAAACTATGGATTGCCTAGAGAAGAATGGGAACTCTGGAACACTTCATTGTGCTCAGGAGAAATTTGTACCTGAATCAGGAGGCAGTTGTGCAAACATAACAAGAGAATACTGCTTGGTTTAGAATCAGGAAAGGTTTGTGACAGGGTTGTATCCTTTCACCAGACCTAGTCAATCTGTATGTTGAGCAAATAAATAGAGAAGCAGGATTAGATCAAGAAAAATATGGCATCAGGATTGGAGGAAGGCTTTTGACAACCTGAAATATTCAGGTAACATAACTTTTCTTCCTTAAACTGAGGAGGACTAAAGCACTTGCTGATAACTATCAAATATTGCAGCCTTCAATATCGATATAATGTAAAGGAAAGAAAATTCCTCACAACTGAACCAAGAGGTAACATGATAAATGGAGAAAAGGTTGATGTTGTCAAGGGTTTTATGTTGCTTGGATCCACAACCAATGCTGATGGAAGCATCAGTCAAGAGATCAAAAGACGAGTTTCATTAGGTAAATCTGCTGTATAAGACCTCTTTGTGGTGAAGAAAGCTGATGGTGCCTGGCTATCAAAAGATAAAGTGTCTGAGGTCTTAAAGGCTTGTAGTCAAACAAGCGGCCACCAAGCAGGTAAGCAACAAAGTCCACATATAAGAAACATACCATTCTATGTGATCATGAGGTGTTGATGGGAATAGATATCAGAAGTTCACAGACAAGCAATCACATTGAAGTGAAGAAGCGTAGACAAAGTGGAGACGCAAAAGCCACCTGTAAGATAATTGGACAATCCCTCACAAAAGGGCTATATAGGAAGAAAGAGATATCCAAGGTGCAGGATAGCACTGATGAAACACAGAACTATCCTCTAGTTCTTTAGTATGTCCTCCCCTTAATATTATGGTCCCAGTTTTATTTCAGTAAGCTTGTTAGACCTGTGAATATTCATTTGTATAATGAAGATCATTCAGTGAATGAAATCCAAGATAGATAACTCCATCAGAAACAGTAATGGGAGCAACAATTCCCTGGAGGTATGGGAAAGATGGAGGGAACCGATAGCAAAGATGACTGTATAACCCCCACCCCTGAAGGGAATGAATAACAGAATTGTAGGGCAACGGAATCAGTGGATGGTGTAAGATAAGGCTAAAATAATAACTAAGAAGAAGAGTTCCTGGGGCGAGGAAGGGGGAAAAGAGGTAAAGGGGAGCTGATATCAGAGTTCAAGAAGAAAGAAAATGTTTTGAGAATGATGGTGGCAGTCATTGTAAAATTATGTTTGATCTAACAGAATTATGGATTGTTGTAATACCTGTAAGAAAAAATAAATAAAAATATCCATATGAGCTCCCAATAAAATGATTTAAAAAAAAAAAAAGACCTCATCGGAGTATTGAAAAGCGAAGCTGTTACTTTGAGGACTAAGGTGCACCTGACCCAAGCCATGGTATTTTCTCTTGCCTCATTTGCGTGCAAAAGTTGGACATTAAATTAAAAAAAAAAAAAGACAATTCAATGTATTTGGACTGTGGTGCTGAAGAAGACTGTTGAAAGAACATGGACTGCTGAAAGGACAAGCTGTTTTGGAAGAAGTACAGCCAGAGTGCTCTTGGAGGCAAGGAGAGCAAGACGTGTCTTCATACTTTGAACATGTTGGGAGAGACCAGCCCCTGCAGAAAAATACCGTGTTTGGTAAAGTAGAGGAGCAGAAGAAAAGAGGAAGGCCCCCAAGGAGATGGATTGACAACATGGCTGCAACATTGGGCTCAAGCAGAGGAACACTTGTGAGGATGGCACAGGACCGGACAGTGTTTTATTCTGTTATGCTTAAGGTTGCTGTGGGTTGGAACCAACTAGATGGCCCCTAACAACAAGAACAACATGTCAATTAAGTGTTGTTATACCAGCTTTGGCAGCTACATGTTTGTTTTCACTTTCCTGAGACTAGTGACATCATTCTGTTTATATTAAAATATTCATGCTTTTTGTAAGTTAATCAAAGATGCTATCATCCAATAATATTTTTGTTGTGGCTCCTTAATTATTGGTCATTGTGGAGCCAAGAAGTATGTCGAATTATTTTTTCCCTGTAGATAGACAATTGTCCTCTCTGCTGTTTGAAGGAATATGGTCCTAGATAGTCTTCCTTATATAGTTCTGTGTTTTTCCTATAATTTCTAATTGCCTTTCTGCAGTTCTTTTGGGAGGGGAAATTTCTGCCTTGTCCAGAATAGTAGGCTCTTCTAGCTTCTTTACTTCTTGGAAGAAAATTTACTGGGTTCCAGTAAATTTGTTCTAATTTGAGCTTTTGCTTTTGAATCCTGCCCTAAAAGAATCATGCCGAATTTCTTGTCAGTATACTTTCCATTTAGTTCAGGTATCTAGTGCTCTCTTGGTTCTCACTGTGTAGAGGAAAGTAAATGGAGTCCTTGCAACTATGACAATGTGTACTGTATATTTGACTCTCATACTTGGTTAATAATTTAGCTAAGGCTACATTTAAATTAATTTTCTTTATTAGAGACCTCACTGGTACGAAATATGTACATGTCAGAGGCTCATTCCTTTGTAGGCCATCATTATTTTTCTTCAAATTATTTTAGAATTCCTTGGTATGAGTGCATGCATCATCATGCTAGATATTCATTCTGTCTTTTTATTCTGAAGTTTTGTTTTCTGCAGCTTTTGCAAATTCTTTCATTTCTTAGATGATTTCCTCTTGTTTTTCTGTTGCTGTATTTTTGCTGTCTTTTTAGACATCCTATAAATCATAGATTAACTCCTTGTGCTTTCTTGTTATTTTTAGTCCTCATTTTCTGGATTGCCCAAGAGAAATGCCAGAAATTGGCCCATTCAGAATTCGAACCCATGTCTATTTAACCTTTTTGAAGCAGACCTAGGAAGAGCATATGAGACATGGTCAATGACTTTTAGCCATAATCCCTTAATGCAGTGTATTATAAATTCTAGACTGTATGCCTGAGACTATAATCCTATTTTGAGAGAGTTCTCTGCTGTGCTGATGGACAGGATTAAGGTGGGATTAATTATCCATTATAATAAAGGATGTGATCCTTTGTTTCATTGGGAGGATGACCGCCTAAAAGACAAAAGCCTCACCTCCACATAAGAATGAGCCACCGCAGAATAAGAAACACACAGAAATCCCAGGACCCTCAGAAGAAGGTCCACCAGTGGAATGCATTCAGGATCTCTGAGTGATGGAAACTGATATACCAGAAGCACCAGCGTGTATGGCACTGAGACCATGAGATAGAGCAAAGGAGCCCGGCTGAGAGCTGAGGCTGAGTCAAGGAGACCATGACATAGAACAGAAGGGCAACACTGAAACTCTATGAGACTATGAGGAAGAACACAGCAGGGGGACTTCCTGGCCTATGGAGACCAGAGATCAAAGGACTTTGTGTCTGAGAGGTTGGGTGCTGGAAAGAGGCTTGGCTGTTGGCTGAGGAGAGGTGTTTCTGTGGACCAGTTACTGATCCTGACCTGTTAACTTCCCTAATAAATCCCCATAATTGTGAGGATTGTCTTTGAGTTCTGTGTGGCTGTTGTAGCAGATTATTCAACCCACTATGGTGCCCTGGGAGGAACAGTTGGTGTCAGAATAGGATAAAGAAGGATGGAAGGTGGAAGAGGTCAGTTACCACCTGCTTGTTTTCCCCTCTCCCCTTGCCAATTGTGAGTTGGCTCTCTCATACAAGAGAAATGGCTTTGATGAAGGTGTGGTTTTTGTTTTTCAGCACACCATGCCCTCATGGAAACAGGTTAATTCACACCCTCAAGACAGGGTCGCTCTGAGGCAGAATGTACTCAGTTGGCCGTGCTATAAGGTGGAGACTCTGAACACCTTCCACTTTAATCCTGTCCATTAGTGTAACAGAGAACTCTCTCCAGCTGGTACTGTAATCACAGGCATGGGTGCTAGAATTCACAGTGCATCTCATAGTGTACACAATACACAAGATATGCAAGATACAACTTCCCCACAAGTATTCTAAGCCTCAAATTTAAAAATTCAAAGTGAATAAACTTTTCATTTATTCATTGTTATAGCACTCAGTCCTCAATTAATGATGATTGCATTATCTGAAATTTCACCTTCCTAACTAGTAAAAATTATGCAATCTAACTATTTGGTGCATTAAAAACATAACTAACTGAAATGAAAGTCAAAGTGTAAGATTAGAATAACACTGACTATGGTGCTGAGGGTTATGTGTTGACTCGACTGGGTTGTGGTTCTCAGTGGTTTGGCAGTTATGTCTTGACATAATTTGACAGTTATGTAATGGTTTGGTAATCTTCCATTATTTAATCTGATATGGCCATCCATTTTTGAATAACACTGATTTTTTCATGATGACTGTCCTAGAATCTAGCCATGTAGAAAGTGAGGAGTGGGTTTGCTTTTATTTAAATAGAGAACTTTACAGTCACAACAAGTAAAGATTACTTTTAAGTACTCTTCATTTGCTTTGTATTAAACTTAGTTTTTGTTATTTTTGTGTTTTTTGGTTGTTTTTTTTTCATTAAAAACAGATCATTACTTCTTGCTGATCTTGACAAAGAAGAAAAAGAAAAAGACTGGTATTATGCTCAACTTCAGAATCTAACTAAAAGAATAGACAGTCTTCCTTTAACTGAAAATGTAAGTAACCAATATGACTACGGATTTAAATTGACAATTTAAGTTGCAGTCCTTAGGCCTACAGAGTCTGTGGGTGGTGCATATAATTAAATGCTCCACTGCTGACCACAAGGTGGCGGATAGAGCCCAACCTGTACTGCCTCCAAATAAAGACCCAGAGAGCTGCTTCTGAGAGATAACAGTCATTTAAAGCCCTATGGAGAATAGTTTTACTCAGAAGCACCTGAGGTTATTACCTTAAATAACCTTAAGGTTACCTTAAGGTATAAACATAAAGATGAAAGCACTTTTTAATTTTTCTCTCGTCCATATTAATATTATAAGGTGCTTCTGTTGAAGTGAGGGGGAAAATATAAAGCAAAATATGTGCTACTTCAACATTTTTTACATGTATTAATTATATTTGTCATGGGCGCCATCACTGCAACCAATTCCAAAATTTTCCATTGTCCTTAACAGAAGTTCAGTGTCTCCTAAGCCATTAGCCCCCCTCTGTACCCTTCCTCCCTCTGTTCCAGCCTTGATAACTGTTTAAGTGGGATCATACAGATTTTGTCCTATTGTAAATCTGCTAGTTTGGGTGGGGGTTTTTTAAATAGGGGGGGGGTTGTTTGTTTTTTTAATAAAAATAGTACCTCATCAGGGAGAATAATCATAAGGGAACTGAACTTAGGCTCGCTCTAATTGGGCCATTTATACAAGGGGGCTTCAAAAAGTTCATGGGAAAGTTCTTTTATCTTTTAATTCCATTGTCTCATGCCCTTTTTGAAGCCCCCTGGTATATTCTAAATGTAATAGTCCAATTTAATTAAAGACATTTGTAAAGATGTAAAGACTATACAAGTGTTTTAATTTTGTGTTTCACATTAGGAACCCTGAGTGAACATGGCACTTATAATCAAGTTTTTGTTTTTGAGCTTTTTAAAATCATTTTATTGGGGGCTCATACAACTTTCATCACGATCCATACACACATCCCTTTGTGTCAAGCACATTTGTACATTTGTTGCCATCATCATTCTCAAAACATTTGCTTTCTGCTTGAGCCCTTATAATCAAGTTTTAAGACTCCTTGGAGTACAAAATTATATCATTGTGTGCTGTGACAACAATTTGCTTACTTGCTTTTTGTAATTTTATACCTTATTGTTTTTATCAATAAACAGACAAACATGATACGATGCTAAATTTTCACTTTACTTGTGGTTTTAGTTTTCTTTACAAACAGATATGACAAGAAGACAATTGGAATATGAAGCAAGGCAAATCAGAGTTGCAATGGAAGATCAACTAGGTACTTGCCAGGATATGGAAAAACGAGCACAGGTAACTTAAAATTATTTTTAAATTATAGAACAGCGTCAACTAAGGAAGAACTAGAAATGAATTCCACCTCTGTTATTGTTGGTTATACTTTATTTCAAAAAATATTTTAACTCTGTTTTCAATTAAGCACATTTTTTTTAGAGTAAAATTAGTTAGCTTGACTAATGAGCAGCAGAGCCAATGTCTACATAGTTCTACCTCCGTCATATTTCAGGTCCCCTGATAGGGCTCTCTTTTGCCCTAGAACTGGAAAAGGGAGAAAGCTAAGTTGCTGTTGCATTGGTACTTAATGGTTAGCTTTAGTTTTGCTAGAAATTTTTATTCTCTTTAGTCTTAAGTATATGACATTCAGAATATTTCATTGTTCAAGTTTTGCCCAAACAAACCCCCCAAAACCCGATTTCAAGTAAAATGGAAAAGAAATACATAAGGAAAATATTAGGTGAGATGAAGTTAGTTGAATGAAGAACAATTCCCATTATTTCTTTCCTCATCTAATATAAAAAAAAAATACTAACTAACTACTGTTTCTCATATATTATTGAATTTAACTGTTTTATGTTCATATAACTATATGACTGATGGTTGTATTAAATCTTGAAGGAAGCTTTACTGGTCACCCTACCTGTTTCAAAGCAAGCTGGGAATTTTTGTATTAACCTTAGGGACAGATTGGAAGCAAAACATTCTTTGAAAGATTTTAGACACACACACACACACACCCACAAGTGCCTATATTTGAATGTGTGTTAAAATACTTGTATTTTGTATTGGGAGCAAAACATTCTTTGAAAGATTTTTTTAAACCCACACACACAAGAGAGAGCTTCTATTTATATGTGTGGTAAAATATTTGTATTTTGTGTTCTGAAAATTATATAACTTTGGTCTTTTTTTTTAATTATGAAAATATAGAAACATATACCAATTGAACTATTTTTTCATGCCAGATTCAGTAACACTGATTATATACTTCAAGTTAAGCAACCATTCTTGCTATCCTTTTCCAAATTATTAACATAAAATCACTGCCCCTAAGCAAAACCTTTTCCCCTCCATAATAATTAATTTTTATATTTCATATAAATTTTATATTTCATTTACATATTTATATTGCATATAATTCAGATCATATAATATTTACCCTTTTGTGATGAATTTCACTATTTTGGCATGCATCCATGTTGTGACATGTATCTATATATCTATATAGCTCTCTATAATGAGTAAAAATTTTTGTACATACCACATTTGATTTATCCAGTCATCTGTTTGCACACATTTGGATTGTTTCCATATTCTGGCTATTGTGGAAAGTGCTGCTGTGAGCATTGATATGCAGTGTCTTACTTGAGCCATTGCTGTCAAGTCTTTGGGGTATATACCTAACGGTGGAATTCTAAATGCTGTATGCTAGTCTATGTCCAACATTTTGAGCAATTACCAAACTTTCTAGTGTATCTACCATTGTGCATTTCTACCAGCACTGGATGAGTTTCTGTTTCTTTAAACCCTCACCAATTCTTGTTGTTTTAAAAATCACTAACAGTAAAAAAAAATCACTAATACAGAATATTGTACATTCCTGAAACTATAATCTTTAGCTCTTATATGTTAAGATATAAGAGCTTCCTAAAATGTACCCAACAGATGCTCTGCAGGGAAAGGCTGAGGCTCTTCTGTGAAGAGTTAGAATCTTAGAAACCCAAATGGCAGCTCTCCCCTGCCCTATTGAGTCAATGTAAGTTGGAACTAATTCAGTGGCAGTGGGTTTGGTTTTCCTAAACATCCTGTATATTCTATTTATGCTTGAGTATGGTGTGATACTGAAGTGTTGGTATCACGATATGCTTCATAGCCCATACCTGTTGGTTTCACAGTGCGACTGGGCCTTGATATTATGTGTTTCGGTTATCACCTGGTCACTATGTATTGATAATATATTCAATGTTCACATTTTCTATACACCTAAAGAAATTAAATGCTGAAAGTTAAAAAGCATCTAAAACTTGAGAAAGTATGCATTAGTATTTCTCAGGTACTGTGGGAGGAAAGGATTTCTAAAACAAGAAATAAAACACAAAAAAGAATTGCTAAATTTGACTGTTTGAAATGAAGATTTTATCTTCAGCAGGTACCTTAAAGAGAGTACAAAGGCCATGTTAAAACTTGGGAGAAGATATCAATAACTAACACACTTATACTCAACATAAGAATTTCCCCAAACAGACTCCATTTTAAATGTCTTTTGTAAGTGCAGAGGTATTCATGGGATTATTTTTAAATTTTAGGCAGTTATGTATAGTTTTGTTTCTAGAAAAACTATGTGAAATATTACTGTGGTTTATATAAATGTGTATTTTTTAAAGTGAGTATATGAAATATTGTGTGTGTAACTTAGTGTTTATTTAATGAGTGAGTTTTTAGACATCCTTATGAAAGTGACATTGTAGATATGAAAATTCTAAAATATAAGTATATTCAGTAGTTTCATCTTTGTCCTACAAAATGTGATTAACTTAAGGCTTTTCATGTTCAGCTGTGTGCTGATGGGAGTAATTTTATATTATTCTAAAGTATAGTATTCTTCATTTTTGGTAGTGAAAACGCTAAGAAATTCTAATAGAGAAAATCTTCGTTTTTTGAGAAATGATAAGCATTCATTTATTTTGGAAGTAGTCATTTTGAGGTGAAAGAAATAGTGTAAATAAGGTGAATAGCAAAAAATGGAGGCATTTTTAGCATATATAAACCCAAACCTACTCATAGTGACCAACCCACAGTGACCCAATTGGAAAAGGTAGAACTCCCCCTGTGAGTTTCTGAGACTGTGACTGTTTACGGGAGTAGAAAGCCCCATCTTTCTCCAGCAAAACAGCTGGTGGTTTTGAACAGCTGACCTTGCAGTTAGTAACCCAACATATAACCATTACATTACCTGGGATTTTGTGCTGCATATATAGCAAGGAGTTAATTTCCCTGTTATATAAGGAATGTCTACAAATCAATTAAAAGCAAGACAGATAGCAAAATAGAGGGAAATATTCTCATCACAAAATAAGACCAAATAATTAAGAAAAGATGCTTACATGCCACTAGTCATCATAGAAATAGAACATAAAAATACGGTACTTTTTTCCCTATCAGACTGGGAAAGAACTAATATTTAATAACATATAGGGAAGGGTGTAGAAGGAACATTGATTGCACCGTTGTCTTAAAAATAAATTGGTGCATAGTGGAGGACTTGTTTCTCAAATTGCCTGTGCCCTCTGCCCCAATATTCTGCTGGGTTTCTAAGAATACGTCCTATAGAAATATTTACTTTAGGACATAGGACTAAGATGTTGTTGGTAGATGTCATCAGGTTGGTACTGACTCATAGTGACCAGATGCATAACAAAACTCAACACTGCTTGATCCTGTGCTTTAGTTCATTGTTGCAGCCACTGTGTCAGTCTGTCTCATCGAGAGCTATTGCTATATAGTAATAATTGCAGCATTATCTGTGAGATATAAAAAAGAAGACTTAAATTCATCATTAAGGGGCTTATTAAATAAGTAGTATACAGCTGGGTCACTGGACAAGTAAAGTAATAATGGGCAGCTATTAGACCAGCAATGGATCTTAGGAAGATCTATGGCCACAAGAAAGATGCAGAATCTCATTTGCACAGGGATTTCCAAATAAAATAAGAGTTGAATGGAAGTGTTTGAACATAAGCATATGCTAGAAACCCAAAGCAATCCTTATATTAAGTTTTTAAAATAGAAAAGTAATGAAATTAAGCTCATGGCACTCAATATTATTGGAATCCTTGCTGTCATCATTTACTTAGGTTTTCTTGAAGGCTTCACTAATGCAGTAAGAATAATAAAATGAGCAATATAAATATTAGAAAGGAAGAGACCAAGTAATTGTTAGTTACAAATGAATGGTAGGTTGTTCCAAGGAAAAGCCCTGGGGTATAACCACCCCCCAAAAAAATATTTAGACTAGTAAGCGAATTTCATAAAGTAAATAACTAAGATGAGATAACCTAGGGGGGAATCAGATTTTTAACTGACAGTATTTACCAGCCAAAAATGAGGAATTGCAAAAATGTTTTAGAAATCAGTAGCTTTTATCTACCTCCACTTAAAAATGGAAATAGGGATAGGAGAACCTTTTAACAATAGCTTTAAACACTTAGAAAATACCTACATAACCTACATGAAGAAAAAAATGTAAAATTGCTCAAAATATGACCTTAAAATTTAGAAACCTGCCTGAGAGCTGGAGGAGCCATAGCTGAGATGCTTCTACCAGCATCGGATCCACAAGACTTCCCCTCACTGGCCTGTGATCTTCCTGCATTCAGCATTGCATGTGCTGTGTGAGTCTGAAGCGGAATATATGGACTAGTATCAGACACATAGGCTAATAACAGACTTATGGACTTGATCTGGACTGGGCTGGGATGTTTCTCTATAAACAATTGCTCTTTGATATAAAGCTCTTTCTTATACACATATGTGTGTGTGTCTGAATTTAATTCTCTAATCAACCCGGCCTAACACAGAAGGCAAATTTGAAAAGACATACTCTGATTTTTTTGAATCCTTCAAGAATTGTGATGAATCAGGAAGTCCCAGGCAAACTACTTGCTTAAAATATTTGGTCTTGGCAGATATGCTAATGAAATTGGAAATAAATCCATTTGACTCACAGGAAGCCAACCCATATAAAAATGATCCAGAAATTCCAGCAGTGACAAATTTACTAAGTGTCTATTAGAATGACATCACTGAATTTGAAAAGATTCTAAAAACAAATCACAGCAACCTAATGGATGATCCTTACATAAGAGAACACATTTAAGAGTTTTGTGAAACATCAAAACACAGTGCTCATAAAATTAAGCCTTACACGAGAATACATAATATTTTTATTTCTAAGGAGTTAAACATAAATGTAGCTCATGTGGAGAGCTTGCTGGTGCATTGCATATTGGATAACA